ACCGATCGGGACCAAAGTGGTACCGTTCGACTCGTCTCCGGCGAGGTAAACTTTTGGTGCTGGCGTCGGTTCGCTCAGTGCTTCGTCGCACACGCGATTCCGCTTCAAGGTTTCGGTGACACGAATTTTTTTGTCAAGGCTACAGGTCAACCCGAGGTCACGGACAAAGCCACACTGGCGGGACACATCGGTAACACCTTGAACCAGTTTCCAGGGGGGTCACCGTCTACGAGGGGTGCAGGCTGCACGTGCTGGGGGCGGTAAACCGTTTTGGCATGAGGTCCTCTGGCACAAAGAAATTTTGAGCTATCAACCTCAAAATCGGTTCAATGGTAGTCCCAGGCAAGGCCTCCAAAATAGTGCACATTTGGTTGAAATAAACTATGTGGTGCATGAACTATGCACGTGCTAGCCGATTGCACTCCTTCGTACGTTGCCACGCCTGCAGGGTAAACGGCAGCTCTAACTGGTTCAAAACTTGCAGGTCATAAGAAGACTACATTGAGTCATGACATTCCGGCGAGATAATATCCGAGGGGTGCAAGCTGCGCGTGCGGGGGGCGGATAACGGTTTTGACGAGGGATCCTCTGATCCCAGGAAACGTCGAGCTAGCGACACAAAAGTCGGTACACTGATAGAGCTAGACACACGCTACAGGATGTCATGAAAATGACTGCACTGGGGTGCCTGGAACATGAACTATGCACGTGCAGTTAATTCATATCTTACTGTAGGTAGATATCCACACCAATCTCGCGTGCTTTCAAGCATTTTTGGGATGTTTCGGTTGGTTTCAGGTTCAGTCCAAGCTCAGTCTGCGTTTCAGTGGTTTTGCCCGGTGTGTGCCCTCAGTACCGTTCCTCCAATTCTGGCCCAAGGCAACGCAAGAGCGCTGCCGGCATCTAGTATAAATAGAAGAGCCTCTTAGACCATTAATCTCAGGGGGCTCCTGTGGACAGTATAAATAAAAGGGCCTCTCAGACCATCAGTCTCGGGGGCCTCCCTAGAAAAGTGTAAATGTGGATAGAGGGCCCCCTCAGATTCATTAGGAGTGGACCTCTGTGACTATCAGTCTCAGGGGCCTCTTGTGGCCAGTATGAATATAAGAGCCTCTCAGACCATCGGTCTCAGGGGCCTCTTCTGACTAGTGTGGATAGAGGGCCCTCCCAGACCACCGGTTTCAGGAGTCTCCAGTGGCCAGTTATATGAACAGAAGGGCCTCACAGCCATCAGCTTCGGGGGCCTCTTCTGACTGGTGTGAATATGAGGGTCTCTCATACCATCTGTCTCAGGGGCCTCGTCTGCCTAGTGTGAATATAAGGGCTTCCCAGGCCATCAGTCTCAGGGGACTCTTCTGACTGGTGCCGGATTGAGGGACCTCCCAGACCGAAAGTTTTGGGGGTCTCCTGTGGCCAGTATGAATAGAAGGGCCTCTCAGTCCATCAGTCTCATGGGCCTCTTCTGCCTGGTGTGATCATAAGGGCCTCTCAGGTCATCAGTCTCAGGGGCCTCCTCTGACTACAGCGTAGATGGATAGGCCTCCCAGACCATCAGTCTCAGGGGCTTCTTCTGACTATTGAGGATAGAGGGGCCTCCTCTGACTGGTGAGGGTAGGGGGCCTCGGCTAGACCGCCAGTGTCAGGGGCCTATTCTGACTAGTGTGGATGGAGGGGCCTCCCAGACCACCAGTCTCAGACCTCTGACTAGTGTGGATAGAGGAGCTTCCCAGACCGCCAGTGTCAGGGGCCTCAGTGTGGAATTGGGGCCTCCTCAGATCCACTAGGGCCTCTCAGGCCATCAGCCTCAGGGGCTTCGACTGACAAGATGAACAGAGGGCCTCGTTGGATCCATCACGGCCCCTTGGAGTCCGTGCGTGGGGATTCGTGGAACTTATTTTCACCGAGTTTTTTTTTTATTCTGGAAGGTAACGATGTCCTCTCAAATCGAAACGAGGGGTCTCGAGTAAAAAGTGGGTGGGCCAAAATACATGGTTGGCCCCACCACCTCGAAAAGTGGATGGGCACTTGCCCACCTGCCCCCCCCCCCTGTTCCTACGCCTATGCTCCAGAGTCCAGAGGGCAAAAACTCTAAAAATACGAGTAGCTGTTTTTACGAAAAGTGTTTTTCGACAATAACTTTTGACTTAAAAAAGCCACGACATTTCTATTGCCAGAATCGTGTTCCCCTCGCCGAGGCGCATCGAATGAACTATAATTTGACCTTGAAAGGTCAACTTGAAAATTTGACCTCAGGTCAAGGTCATGACCTGACCGGAAAAGGTCATGTTGCATATCAGTCGATGCGTCTCGGCAAGAAAAACACAATGAGACCATCCTTAGCGTTCTATTTCTTTCCAATCGCGAGTTATTGTCAAAAATATGTTTGTAGCCTCAAATGACCTCGGATGACCTTTCTAGAGGCTATCAGCAAAAAAGACACCTTGGTCGTCACGGGTGGTCCAAATCATTGTGATTCTGAAATATTTGGACTGTTCCTATGCGTACACACGGATCTAGAGTCATTTTCATTTTTCTCCATTGGCTTATAATGGGAAGGTCACGTCACTGACCTGACCTTAGGTCACGGATATAAATTTACCGGCCGATTTTCAAAATTCAAACGGCGTTCGATAGCCCCACCGGGGAACTACCTTGTGACCAAATTTAATTGACCTAGGTCAAACCGATGACGTCACAGGTCAGGTCAAAGGTCAGATTTTCACCGTTCACAGGCATTTCAAGAAATGTGTTGTGAAATCGAGTAAATTGGTAAGCTATTGAAAACCATCCATGGTACATTGTTCGTCCAACACATACTTAACTATCTGAGGTCACTGACACCAGGTCCGGTCACAGAGGTGAGGTCACTGGGGGTCACAATATGAAAGTGTCGTATGATACATGTTTTATGGTCCATTTTACATGACAAATGCGATTGTGTGGGTTAGCCAGCCTTTGGGGTCAGTTCACATTATGTTCCGGTAAGGTCAGGTCAAGGTCAGGTCAAGGTCAGGTCAAAATAGGTCAAATTTCAAAGTTGATATTTTTGCATAAAATGGGTATCGATTCGATGCAACTCGTCACGGGGAGTTCAATGGTGGTCTTTGTTTTGCCCTACGTGGTCTAGAATTGCGTTTGAAAAATTGAGTTTGAAAATTTGACGTCATCATTTTTGAACAGTTTTTTTCTCTATAACTTGGCCAAAAAAAGAGATATCGATCTGAAATTTGGTATGTAGATAGAAGACGGTAGGTACTATCACATATATTCCGTTTTTTGAAACTCAAAAAAACTTTTTAGATTTTTTGGCAAATATATCCAAAAAATTGCATTTTTGATTTTTGGGGGTCAAAACTCAAAATTTTCAAAAATCCGAGATTGCAGTTTTGTAGCCATGTCAATTATACACCTTTTATGTTCTGATCATTTTTCTGTATCTTCAAAGCTGTAGGCCTGACAGCTCTTCTCGCGAAGGTCTTTTTTGGGTCGAAAATGGCAGAACATGACGTCATTCTGACGTCATTTATGGCCAACTTATCATAGCCTCTGGGAAAAATTTTGGTCACAATGTGTAAAGTTGATGCCCGGAGGGCTCCTGAAATTTTGGTGGCGATATCTCCAGCCGTTTAGGAGACATCGACGGAAATGGACAGGGGGGGGGGGCCGTTTCGCCCCCCCCACGGGGCGCGGGTTTTAATTAACTTGACCTGGTGACCTGACCTGACATAACCTGGGGTCAAATATTTCACACATTGTCCAAAACTGATGTACGAAAAGCTACCCCAAGCGGCACGGCGCTACGCGCCGCGGTTTTTTATTTACACGCAAAAAACGAGACAGGGTGGTAACATATGCCCCCCACTGGGGCGGAGGATATGAACTATATGCCTTTGTGTAATTGTCAGTAAGTATTTCTCCGGCTTTTCCTTCAAATGGTGGAATGGTATCAGTCTTTTTGCGTCCTGTTATGTCGCGTAGCGTCTGGTCCCATTTGCTTGTTATAACCCGCGCCCGGCTGGGGGTCCTGGAATTCCACGCCCTGCTGGGGGGGGGGGCTGTTTGAACACCCCCCCTTTTAAATCGGCTCCTGGGCCACGTAGCGATACGCGGAAGGCGGCGTTCGAAAGAGCGCCAAAAATAATGACGAAATCACTTCGGTCACTTTTTTGGTCAGGTGAAAGATCAGGTCACCAAAGGTCATTGAAGGCAAAATTTCGCCGATTTTCAGGTCGAATGTCGACAATTTCCAAGAAGCCAACGCATAACTCGGGAACCAATAGAGCTACAGCGCCGCGGAAAAGCGCATTCGATAGCCCTATTAACGCATTTCTGAATAATTTTCTCAGATTTGACCTAACGTCAACGGTTTTGCCTGCAGGGGGCAAAAACTGCAAAAATAGCCGATTTTTTCGGAAACAGTTTTTCTGCAATAACTTTTGACCCAAGGCTTGTACGAGCTCACCTTTACCAGCATCGTGTTCCTCTCGTCAAAACGCATCGAATGAACTTTAACTTGACCTTAAAAGGTCAACTTGAAAATTTGACCTCAGGTCAAGGTCATGACCTGACCGGAAAGGGTCATGTTGCATATCAGTTGATCCGTATCGTCGAGCTGAACACAGCTAAGGCGTTTTCACCGCTCTAGCATGCCTCTATCAAAAGTTATTCGCGAAAAACTGTTAGACACCATTCGTGACCTGATATGACCTCAGGGGCATAAATAGGGGTCACGGACACCATTTTCATGTTCAGTGTGTCTAAACCACTTGTAATACATTCAACTCCATCGACAAAAACTTATCGAAGTGTTGACGTGAATACCAAATTATACTTACGAAAGAAAATCGACTTACGAAGTCAACGTGGAAACGGCCCCTGGAGGGCAAAGATAGCCCCTCCCACCAGCACGGCACGGGGTAGATTGTTAAAATTTCAAAACACCCTTGACATAGTCTCAGCTGACCTGCTGCCCTGTAGGCAGTAAATCAATACTGTCTTACCTGCTGTCGGCCGGTAGCCTCCGCCCCAGCGGCGGTCTCTCCGCTGAACATCTTGGAGCTCTGACCGGGGGGAGCCGCCGACACGGCCTTTATTTAACCGATAGGAGATGCACATGACGCACTGCACGTGCACACTCGTCTTCGGCGCCCCGTAAGATGTTGACCCCTGGTACTCGGTTCGATAAGAAAAATACACGGTATAGTGTTTTTTCCTCTGTTCCAGTCGGATTTCCGACGGGGTGCGATAAGGAAAAAGTCGCCAGGATGTGCTGATAGGCAGGCCTTCAGAGTGGAGGACCGAGGACGGTGGTTGTGGGTAAGGGGGAGGGGGGGGGGTCTGAGTTTGGGGCTGAGTGATAGCAGCCGTTTTCACGACGGGCTATCCGGCGAGTCCACCTGATTTGACCAAATCTGCACCTAATCTCTTTTACAGCAAATATCTTTATTCTATGAATTTATTTCAGTGTTTTAATCGATGATGCCCTCTGATAATATGACAAAGCAGGCATATAAGCAAATAGTGCAACCCTAGCTGATAGCTACTAAGAGACACACTGAACCTGATTTGACCAAATCTGCACCCGATCTGCACCAGATGCGCACCAAATGTGTACCAGATAGCCGTCGTGAAAACGGCTAGTCTGACTTGTTGTTAGTGTGTGGTCTGTTAGTGTCCCCCCTTGCTCCTTCTTCTCGCTAACAAGATGTCACAGTCGATCTCAGAATTCGCATTACATAGTTGTGTGTCTATTCATTCCAAATTGACCAAAGTATTATAATTTTCCCAATGAACCTACTCCAGGTGACCAAAAACCCCTGCAATCAGTCGCCAAACACGAGGTGTCCCAGAGCTTGGAAGTCTGACGCGGAGTAAGATATTGTGGTTAGATATCGTAGTTTCGTGCAACTTTGTCCACCAAGGACAACTTTGGCCTACGCCTGAAACAAGTTGTTTTGCTGTAGCTTTTTCACTTACCTAGTGCAGAAAAGTTGTTGCTATGGTTCAGTAACACTGTTCGTTGGTTACCTTTGGGAGCAGTTCTGAGTTGGTCCTAAGGCCAAGTTGAAGGGCTAGGAGAGGTGAAAACAACCCATGAAAAAATAACGGAAAATCAGATTTAGCTAGGGTCCAGTGAGGACGGCAAACGGGTGCGCCAGTAGTGAACTTGTGGTTTCCAACTTGTAGTGGATATTATTTTATCTCTCGCCCTGGCAGGGTGGGGGGGGGGGGGGTCGATGCGATTCCCCCTAAGGTCTGTCGAAGATAGCGTAAAAACGGAGGCGCGCAGCGCCGCCAAATTTGGCAAAGCCTATGGGGCAACCTTTTTACATATGACCTGAAAATTTCAGGTCCCGGTGACCTTGGTTCAGGTCACCAGGTAAAAAAAAAACGGTACAAGGTCACGGTCAAATTTCAATTTTCTTTTTACACCTGTCCAACTCACAGTTTTAGACTGATTTCCTTCAAACTTTCAGGATGTGCTAAGTTCACCGAGTTGTATAGCATGTAGTTCGGGTTTTTTGAGGTCACTGACCTGAGGTCAGTTTGAGGTCATTACGTCGTAATGTAGAACCTATGGGAAAATACTAAATTCGGAAAATACTGGAGATATCCGCTTCGTTCTATCACTTTTGTGCTTTGAAACCACAGTAGGTACTTAGCAGCAGGTCACTTGGTGCTTCTTTGTTTGGTGCACTTATCCATGGGTCAGGTCAAATGAGGTCAACTGAGGTCAAATGACGTTTTTGCTAATAACTTGGCACATAATGACGCTAGAGCTTAAAAATGGCGTCATTGTGTTCCTGGTGATTAGCCAAATTGAATGATATGCGATATGATGCAATTTGGTTAGCTTGAACTTAATTAATTAAAGTTTACTTAATAACTAAGAAAACTTTAAGTACGCTTAAGCAAGCTAAAAAGTATATCATTCGTCGCGCCTTGACGTGCTGAGTTCACTGGTGCTTTTCTGTTTGTTCTATCTCAATTAGATCAAAAGCTATAAGCGAAAAATTTTTGACCTGTTTTTAGCGAAATTTTTACATTTACATATAACCCCCAAAACCCCCTAAATATTTACCTAGAGCAACCAAATTTGCACAGGGGCGAGAACTCCAGGGGGCCCACCTACCTACCAACTTTGGTGTTTCTAGGTGCCATAGGAGCCAATCGCGGGGGGAACGCATCGACCCCCCTGCCAGGCCGTGTTATGAAAATGCCCTGCCAGGGCGAGGGTTATACGATGCCTTTACCCATTATTTGATACGTGCCTGTGGATGATTTCATGAATAAACAAAGCGAAACTGAGCCATACCACCTCAAAGACATTCATCAACCGAATGACTGTTTTCAGTTGACTTACTGGACAGTGAACTAACTGTTCTCGGAAGTGACTCGGCTCAGTCGCCGCGTCCAAAGGCCGCCGGTCCGTCCCGCCCGCGGTACAGTCCCTCGGCCGTGCCAGACAACACAGCCTTGTCTAAGCAGTGCCGATTGGCCATTCACCCCTCCCACACACTGGGGGGGGGGGGGAATCCCCGGAGGCTCTGACCCGGATAGAGACTGCGAAACGAGTGACGCTATCGAACGGTGCAGCTGGTGGAGCCCCTCAGACGTGCCAGACCATGCAGCCACAGATTTATGTAAACAAATCTCCGTGCTTCACCCACCAGAGGGGACCCCAGTAAACCACAGAGGACCACAGTGGACCACAGTAAACCACAGAGGACCACAGTGGACCCCAGTAAACCACAGAGGACCACAGTGGACCCCAGTAAACCACAGAGGACCACAGTGGACCACAGTAAACCACAGAGGACCACAGTGGACCCCAGTAAACCACAGAGGACCACAGTGGACCCCAGTAAACCACAGAGGACCACAGTGGACCCCAGTAAACCACAGAGGACCACAGTGGACCACAGTAAACCACAGAGGACCACAGTGGACCACAGTGGACCACAGCAAACCACAGTGGACCACAGTAAACCATAGTGGACCACAGTGGACCACAGTAAACCACAGAGGACCACAGTGGACCCCAGTAAACCACAGAGGACCACAGTGGACCACAGTAAACCACAGAGGACCACAGTGGACCACAGTGGACCACAGCAAACCACAGTGGACCACAGTAAACCACAGTGGACCACAGTGGACCACAGTAAACCACAGAGGACCACAGTGGACCCCAGTAAACCACAGAGGACCACAGTGGACCACAGTAAACCACAGTGGACTGTAGTGGACCACAGTGGACCACAGCAAACCACAGTGGACCACAGTAAACCACAGTGGACCACAGTGGACCACAGTAAACCACAGAGGACCACAGTGGACCCCAGTAAACCACAGAGGACCACAGTGGACCACAGTAAACCACAGAGGACCACAGTGGACCCCAGTAAACCACAGAGGACCACAGCAAACCACAGTGGACCACAGTAAACCACAGTGGACTATAGCGGACCACAGTAAACCATAGTGGATTATAGTGGACCACAGTAAACCATAGTGGACTATAGTGGACCACAGTAAAACATAGTGGACGACAGTAAGCCATAGTGGACCACAGTGGACCATAGTTGACCACAGTGGACCACAGTGGACCACATACTGCCGTCAGGTAAAGCGGCAGTTTCATTTATGTGCCCGTTGTTTGTATGGCAGTTTGTTTTGTGGCCTGAAGTTGGAACTTAAAATTGAAGCATCCGAAAATGATCGATATTGATCGAAAACATGATGTTGATGTAAAATAATATGTGAAGTTGAGAGAGGTCATTTTATCCGGATACGGTGGCTTACTTCTTGAAATAATTTTTGCTTATTGACGGCTGCGCATCATCCGTCATTACATGGCGGTCGTCATAAACAAAAATACTTTCAAGAAGTAAAATACCGCATCTGGATGAAATCGCCTCCTCTTTCAACTTAACGTATTCTTCTTTTTTCATCAATATTATGTTTTCGATCAATATTGATCATTTCCGGATGCTGCAAATTGAAGTTCCAACTTCAGGCCACAAAAAAAGGTATGCTTCAACGTTGGACTACCATACAAACAACGGCCATATTAAAGCTGGTTTATTCTTCTTGCACAGGTGGCAGCACTTCTTTTCCAAAATCAGTGCTTGTATTCCCAAAATCGTGTTTTCCTCGCTAAGGAGTGAAATCGACTTCATCGTTGCCAAAAATAGCTGATGGCGTTGTCATTTTTGGCACATGGTTGCCAAAAAATGGCATGTGCTAAAAATGACAGCGATTGACCAAACCTCCCCCGACTGAATCGCCCGAAAAAAATAGTGACGTAATAAATCAACCCCAAACGAACTCACCTACTACCGGTGCTCAGACCGGCCTGGTGACCCGGCAGGCCTGCGGTAGGATACCCGACGACCGAAAATAAGACCCCGCGGGGATGACCGCCGGAGACACCGTGCCAAGTAGCTGACTTCATCTAGTCAACAAATGGACAGGCAGGGCGGCGGTAGGACTTCCCCCCCGCGCCCGGGCCCCTCCCGGCTTCTCCGTACCTAAATAAACTGGCCGCCAGCGTCGAACCGTGGGATTGGATGAGTGTGTTTGTACGAGTGAGTCATGTGCAGCCCCCTATCAGGGGCACAAAAGACAGTGGCGGCGGCTCCACCCGGTCACAGTTCCACGATGTCGTTCAGCGGAGAGACCGCCGCTGGGCCGGAGACAGCCGACGAGAAACAGGTGAGCTGATAGTAACAACTTTTTTTTAGAGGAAATATATCACTTACCCCAAATTGATTATTTTCCTACGGTTTTATAATTTACTATGCTTAGCCTGCGCCCCACTGGGGCATTTCTATAACGCTGCCCGGGGGGGGGGGCTAATCATATCCCCTCCTGACTTCAAGTTCAAACTACTGGGACGATTGTCAAATATCAAATGGCGTCCGATAACCCGCGCCCCGTTGGGGCTGCCGAGCAACGCGCCCCGTTGGGGGGAGGTTGCCCCCCCCCCAAGTTCTCGAGAGCCAAGCAACGTAGCGACAAGCGGCAAACGGCGTTGGACAGCCCTTGGTGCGAGCTATCTAAGGCATGCATTTTTTAATCGAGGTCAGGTCAAACTGAGGACAAAGAGCAAATATTATCATTTTTACTATCAATCAATCAATCAATCAATTTATTATGCGTCTTTTCGAGACAAGATAAAGCATACAGTAAAACATACGACACAATATAACAAAAGATAAACACTCATCACGACGCAAAGATACAACATCGTAGCAGAATGCACAAAGCAGGTTAGGCGCACAAAAGCCTCAGCAGGCGACGGGACATAACTGTCTGACTAGAATTTAGCACGAAGCGAATCGAGTCGACCAAACCGTCACCTTCAGTCGGGCTTCTTATAAAGCTAGGGTCAACATGGCCCCTTACAGTATCTAGGGGTATCTAGAGTATCTACTAGAGTAGGCCCCTTACAGTATCTACTATGGCGCCTACTGAGACCAAACAATGCTTTATAAACTTTTTGTTTTGTTTTGTCTCTGGACGGTCCTTAGATAGCCACAGCAAGGTACTGAAGTGCCCATGGAATGGTGCTAAGTAAAGATCAGGTCAAGGGCAGGTTGCAAAAGGTCAACTTTTAAACATGAAGAAACGTGGTCATGCGGCACAAGTTTTTAGGTCATCTTTCAAAAAGGTATTAGCTTGTAATGGTCTAAAAGTTATGTAAGACATCAAAGCGAAAAAGAATGAATGAGATTGGTCAAGGTCAGATCACAAAAGTTCCAACTTTAAAAAATAAAGAAAGATAGTCATGCGGCATATTTCTTGAGGTCATTTTTCCATACGGAATTCACTTGTTAGAGCATTGAATGTATATCCCGACAATTACAGGTCAAAGAACATAGCTCAGGTCAAGGTCAGGTCATCAAAGTCAACTTTCGTACAGTATTGAATATAGTCGTTACGGAGCGAGCGAAGCGAGCGTAGTCTTTCCTTAGATTAACGGAAATTTCTGATATGAGACTGTAAAGTCATATTTAAACCCAGGTATATTAATGATAATAAATCGTTTATAATAAATCGTTTAGCTCAGGGACAAACTAGTTAAAGCCAAGGACGTACCACCAAAGGATTTGCAAAAAGGTGTCATTTACAAGACTACTTGTGATTGTGGTGCCACGTATGTTGGCGAGACCGGGCGTCCTAAAAGCATGCGACTTAAGCCTGAAACAGACTCTTTCCGCAGTCAGGAAATCGCATGCGAGAGCCTATTCAAATACATGGAAGCACGCTCGCATCAATCGCACGCACCTCCCGCAAGCGATTGATGCGAGAAGAATTATAATGTATTTGAATAGGCTCTCGCATGCGATTTCCTGAACGCGGAAAGAGTCTGTTTCAGCCTTTAAAGAACACGTAGCAGCCATAAAGCATGGGAGGTCAGACACATCCCCTTTAGCTGAACACTGGCTCCAGTGTCGCCAACCATTTGACCCAGGTCAGGCTAGCACGCTGGCGGTCGAGCCAACATGGTCCCGCCGTGTCGTAAGGGAGGCCATCGAGATTCGATTATGCAACCCATCACTGAATCAGGGTGTCGGAAAGTTCTCGCTTAGCCCTATATGGGATAGTGTTTTGAAAAAGTAGACCTACTGGAGTACGAACTGTCTGTAAGTTGTGTCACGTGTTTTAGCATCGATCATTTTGAGAATTTCGTGGATGGCAGTATAGCATGATTATTGTTTGTTTTTTGAATCGCATTGCCCCTTTGAAGACCTGTCAATAAAGGTCGAAGTACACAAGGCCGTATAAGTTAGGTAAGATCGTCCGGGCTCGCTAATGTTACAAATCTGCAACACTACGGTGACGTCACCGGAGCATACGCTCCCTGGCTCCATCCGGACCCTGATGCGGCCGCTGGAATCGCTGCTAATCGAAAAATTACTTGTGCAATAGCGCTTTTAAATGACTTTAAAAGGGGGGAAAATATGATAGCAAAATAATAATGAGAATCCCTTGTCCTGACTGGGATTGTATGACCCCGCCACCTATCGGACAACGTCGTAATTAGGGTTGAGTTGGCGATCGCCAGGTGGCTTGTCAGTAAGCTGTCAGCCGGACAGGAGAGGGGCCGTCAGGCTGTAAACGCCAGATCATGCTCAGAAAAATGCGACACGCTTAAGAACGGTCATTTATCTCGAAAAAGATGCGGTGCCCTGTGGTGATATGGCCCACATGACTCGGGACCCGTAAGCCGTATACGGCCTACGGGTACCCTCCCGAGTCATCAGGGTCCTTATAAGGCCCCTGTGGTCACCGGCAGCTCCCAAGGCCCCTACGGACGCGATACATGCTTCGAAAATCGCTAGACAAAGGACTCAGGGGCGCAGCCAAGGGGGAGGGGCACACTAGGGCTTTAGCCCCTCCCAAATCTAGCAGGCGCCCTCTGGAAAGACGCCATCCAGGCGCCAAAGGCGCCCTGGATGCAGCGCCTTCCACGATCATTCTGTGCGCCGATGGCGCCTTTTCAGTGTCCAGCACTCTAGTCGCCCTCGACGGTAAGCCATTGCGACGTCATCATGCGGTACTGGCGCCCAGATTTACAATTTTATATCTCTTTGTGGGTGAAGATGCACCCACAATCCTGAAATGCCGGATATCCACTCCCAATCACCTGACCATCTAGCGCCCTCGGCTCACCTTCAGCGCCCTTCTGTCTGCTCGGCGCGCTTCTGATCTGTCGGCACCCTTCTCGCCCTTCAGCGCTCTCCTGGCCTGTCGGCACCCTCTTCACATTCGGCGCCCTCCGGGCAGACCAGTTAGCGCCCTCATGGACATTATCACACAGCATCCTCCTGATCTGTCTCGCCCTCCACACTTGTCAGCGCCCTCCTGACCTGGCAGCGCCTATCGTATTATAGCGCCCTCTTCACCGTACAGTGCCCTCCTGACCTGTCGCAGTCCTCACTGTATAGCGGCCTCCTAACCATACAAAGCCCTCCAGACCGGCTCCTGCTACGTTCAGCGCCCTCCTGACAAGTCGGTGTCCTTTTCACCGTAGACGGCCCTTCTGATCTGTCGGCGCCCTCCTGACCGTACATTGCCTTCCTCACCTTGTCCGCGCCCTCCTCTTTATACAGTGTCCTCCTGACCTGTCAGCGCCCTCTTCACTCGTATAGTGCCCTTCTCATCGTACAGCATCCTCCTCACCATGGGCGCCCTCCTGACCTGTCGGCGCTCTCCCGACCATACAGCGCCCTGCTGCCTTGTCGGCGCCCTCTTCACGGACAGCGTTCTCCAGATCTGTCGCAGCTCTTATCACCGTGCAGTGCCATCCTGACCTGTCAGCGCCCTCGCCTCACGCCTGTCGGCGACATCTTCGCGTTCAGCGCCCTCCTGACCAGCCTGCGCCTTTTGCAACGCATAGCGCCCTCATCACCATGCATCGCCCTGCCGACCAGTCAGCGTCGCCGTTCATCGTACATCGCCCTCCTGACCTGTCGGCGCCCTCCTCACAACACACCGCCCTTCTGAGCGGTAAGCGTTCTCCTCACCATGCAGACAATGCAACACTTTACAATTAGGAAAGCGTTAAGTAGCCTTTGCTTAACCCTCGCCGGCACAGGCCATTTTGCGTCATTCGACGGCAGGGGGGCTGGTACGACCCCCCCCCCCTCGCGCCTCTGACAGCTTCGTAACATGTTACGAAGGCACCAAAACTACTTCGTAAATGTTCAAATGGTTACTAAATTCGAAATCAGCTCCAAAAACTAGCCTAGAAACATGTAAAACTTGAAAAAGTGAACCGAGGTCACCAAAGGTCAATGACCTGACCTGACCTTGGTGACCTTGACATCCACCCTAATGCATAAGAGCAACATCAAATCACATGTTTGAACATTTGAAACCACGAAAAGCTTGCAAACGCGCGGATAATGCGAGCCGACATGCGCCGAATCGCGATTCCGGCCAAACATGGTCTCGGAAAGTAGGTCACAGGTCAAAGGTCATTTGGGTCAGGGTCATGAAATTTTCAGGGTAGGTGTACAATTGATCAATGCGAAGGTACTGAAAGTTTCGTCACGATCAGCCGCTTTTTACGCGAGTTATTCGCGAAAAACCTTAGGGGGATTGCATCAACTCAACTTCCTGTGCCGGCGAGGGTTAAAGTGATTTTAGACGCAAAGTAGTAATGAAGCAATTTCCGGAAAGTAAAAGGATCACAACGTTTCCAGCGTTTCCGGAACGTTTCCGGAAAGGAACTTGTTTACAACCGTGACCCTCAAAATCGTATTCAGGGCCAAACTTGCGGGGAAGGCCAGCTGACAAGTGTACGCCCCGGTGACGTCACGGGTAATGTTAAACAGTCTGGCGCCCGGCACATAGGAAAGCTCGGGATGACAGCCCCCTGGAAGTACAGGGAAAATAGCTTCTTTACACCCTTACACCCAGAGTCAGTCTGCTAAACGATTTATTATCGGAAATTTCTGAGTATGAGCGGCCGGCCGGCCGGCCGGCCGGCCGTGCGGACGCTTTTGCGAGGCTTATATCTCAGCAACCACTTGACCGATTTACATGCGGTAATTTTTTTAGGGTAGCTTCATTCCTTCTACCAAGTATTGGACTATTCCCGATGCATGTGGGTGACCCCTTATGCACGTGCCACGTGCAAAACGAAGAGGTGTCAGTTTTGTAATTGTTGCAATATCTCGGTAACTACTTGGCCGATTGCGCTG